TAGTCTTCTTGAAGTTGGCATACCATCTCAAAGGTGGTAGCCTTAGTATAGTAAGCTGAATTAAGAGTACTGCTTGCCAAGTTTTTGCCTTACCTCCGTTGAGTTGTATTATTATTCTCAGCAATATTATATTACCAATTGAGATCTTCTTCAGCACTCCGAGCCCTGTCAAGATCAGTTTCATGTCGATGAACGATGATCCTGTACGAAACGTTGATTAGTTGTTCGTACATCCTTCATAATGTAAACCGGTGTTCCCTTTCGTACCCTCGCAGTCAGATCACACGGAACTCACAGACATGTGTGCGTCGTGTACCTGATATGTGATACGGTTCTTCTTATGAATCACATTTTACACCCCTTGCATTTGATTGCTTTTGTATGCGTTCCAGTTATTTTGAGGCCGCTTGTGTTTGAAACTGTCGCTTTTGCTTTTTTAAATCGGTGAATGATGATGTATTTGATTTCTTGCAACCGAGTGCCATTCGGATCATACTTAAATCGTCATTCACTAGGAATGGTCCATATTACTGTACTTTATTACCTCCTCTCCTTCCCATCAGAATTTCATGTTATCTCCGGCGCGCTGAAATCCATTTGTACCAGACAAGGATTTGCTCAGTTCCCACCGTTGTGGCGTTCATTAGCACAATCGCCGGCAGACTATACCGTCCCACACAACCTCTTAATGCTCCCGTCTCCTACATCCATGTTCCGCTTCCCGTGGATTCTCACCAACGGTGCTATGGGTGATCTGCAACTGATCAATTTGGACACGGGCCGGTTAACCGTTGACAAGGTGGGCGTTCTAAGGTCTCTCGGATAATAATGGTATTGAGGAATACGCCATTCTAGTGTGATGTGAATATACTTTAAACCAATTTAATTAAATCGTCCATGAGACTTGCAATAGATTCTGATTTGTATTGATGTGATGGATTATTGATGTCTCACGTTCAATTAAAACTGGTTGCGCAACAAATTGGGGGCTTAGTGGCTTAGTTGCTCAATTCTACATCCACATTATCATAAACTATCCAAAACTGCTACTTTTACGCACTTGGATACGGATCATGCTCTGCTGCGTGCCAGATTCTAACACAAAAAGCTACCGGAAACGGATTCTCATATTGGAATTTAAGTGAAAAGTAGAAGCATACCTCCAAAGCGCATCTCAATTCAACCACCCCTCCAAGGACTCAAAGAACACTGAAACTATTCCGATACGAATCAACGATGTAAGCATGATATCTTTGACCTCTTCTGCTTTGATGGACGGTCTCAGATCGGTTCCGCCAAATGCTTAGTGTAACAGTATTCCTCAATACCGTGGATACCAATTCGTCAAAGACTCGAGGAATGGTTGCAAGATGCGGTAGCTAGCAAAAAGCAAAGGGATGGAGAAGGTTGTGGCTATTAGTGACAGTCGCGATCTCTGTATCTACTTTGGAGTACGAATTTCAGAAAAAAAGGCGTAAAAGAAATAATTAAGCAGTCCGACGGTACACTGATTCGCATTCAGCGCCGCTGTTTTGAGAGATGGACGAGACCTTCTTAGGCCCAATTCAATGGGCCCATATCTGCATTAGATTTGACGGCCTCTGCTGACCA